ACTACAGAGAATTCAAGAAAAATAATTATTTGACAAATGCAATAGTCTTTCTTTGAGGGATGGAAAGACAGACACAATTATGCACTTTCAAGTATTTTTTTAAAGTTTCATATTTTTCTTTCACCTTTAAATCTTGATCATGGGTTCAAAACATGTGCAAATGGTAAATATATCAAACATCCAAATTTTGTTTGTGGTGTTGAGTAAATCAGCAGTGGGGCTTCAGCTAGTGTGTGCACAGCTAGTATAATCCTATTTAGGTATGATGTTCTGGACAAATATGTCTATACTGCAACACTATTTCCAAATAACTAGTGCTATTCTGAAATAATGTAGTGTGAGTCTACACAGCAGGCAGTTATTTTGAAATATTGTCAAAATACTGTCAAGCTGGAGGACTTCTTACTCAGATTCCTGTCACTCTCATTGTATGAGGAATAAGGTAAGTCAGAGGAAGAGTGCTCTATTTCAAAATAAGTGCTGTGTAGACACTCCTTATTTTGAAATGAGCTATTTTGAAATAAGAGATGCAATTGACACAGCTCAATTTGCGTAGCTTATTTCGAATTAAGCCCTGCAGTGTAGATGAACCCTAAGAGTGTGGACAGTATAGAAATATAGAAGAAAAATGTTACTTGATCAATATAGAAGAATAAGCATTATGGGACTAAACGGTTAGATTGTATAAATCCATGAACTCCATTGAGTCATTTACACTTCCTATTTAAAATGCATGACCTACTTCTAGTTTGTATTTATCTAATTTGAACTTCTAGGCATTGGATTTTGTTATACTTTTGACTAATAGACTAAGAGCCCGCTCCTAGGTGAAATCTTCAAGACTGTGATCAGATCACTTCCTCACACTCTCTTTGATGAGATAAGTATAGATTGATTTTAAGTTTCTGACTTAAAAGGTGGTTAATTGAAGATGTGTGTCTGTATCTCTTACATTGCTGTTGTAACCACTGCCAGGCAGATTTGAACTTCGGACCTCTGAAGCTTAGTGTAGGAGCTTCTACACTACAGCTTGAGCTATGAAGCTAACTGGCTTTGGGCTTAGACTGTAGACCGCCCTTATTCTTATTTCTCGCTGTAAGTGGTCTAAGTGCCACTAACTACATGGGACAGTGAACCACACTAGGTGTGTGGGTTACACTATGAAAATCTCAACCATTAATTTAGAGAGTGTTGATATATAAAATATTTTTTATTCAATAACCAACATTGTTAATTTCATGGTAGTATAGAATGATTTAATGTTTATAATGGATTTAACTCATTTTCACATACAATCCACAGAGGCAAACTGTACAATAAAATTGTGACATTTAGAAGTAAAAATGACATGGAAAATCAAACTCATACTGTGTAAAAACTCAGTTGTTATGGGTAATGCTATAGGAGAGTCAGTATAGTAGAAGGTGTTCTTTGGTTTTGTATGTGCACATTGTGTCCATTGTGGCCTTAGGGTGTTTTTGAGAATACCTCACAATCTGCACTCTGGCTATGAAAGATATAACAGCACCCTTTGCAAGGGTAGAAATATAAATGCTGATGTCCTGCTAGTCAAGTTCTAGTTTTCATAATTTTAACAGTAGAATTTAATTTCTTGGTAGTTTCAGATAGAGAAATTATTAATCATCATCCTTTGTATTATTTTTAAGAATCAGGCCACTTCACACACCCCATGAAATGGTTGAATAATCCACTTGCACCTAATGGCTTCTATATCTTCACCGTAGAGCTTGTAATAGCAGAGAAAGCAGTCTCTGGCAGTACCTTAGTCTTGGATTAAATTATATTTTTGTTAGGAAATCAGAAAGCTCTAATTTGGTGCTTGTCTAGTTGTCTACCTGGGGGCTCTCAGGGAAATTAAGATTAATTAACTGTGCATAAGTTAAAGCACATTAAGTGCTGTATGGATGCTCTCCTTCAGAAGTAAAGTGGTCATAATTCAAGATTCAGTGAACAAAAGCCACTTTACTACTGAATGATAGTAGTGTTGTAGCTGGGTTTTCCCACAATAGTAGAAAAAACAAGATTGGTGTACCTTTTATTAGATCAACTTCTATTGATAGTCTCTCTCACCAACAGAAGTTGGTTCAATAAAAGATATTACCTCCTTGCTTGATCATGCTTGTCTAACACTATGCTCTTATCAAGTGTTAATCATGATAGGCAATGCTAAGTGCAGTCTTCTGACTCCCTATTTGCAAATGTCTTATCAACAGTATATGGTGAAACAGAATCTAGGGTACAGGCTAACATTATAGAGGGAGGAAACCTAGAAGTAGATAATCATAAGGAGAAGACTTGAGCTGAACTTTAACTTAGTGTTCATTTCTGTGTTAACAGAACAAAATTCCAGCAGACAAGTGAGCGATAGACTATATATAAGATAGTGATTGCATTTGATATGAGGTTTGGATAGGTATCTGGCTCAAAATAGCATATATGCTATTCATTCTCTAATATGTTCTGTATATATACAATCTTTCTTTCTTATCATATATCCAATTCTTTTTTTACCAATATTTTTCTCATTCTTCAAAAGTCTGTGCTCCTGAAATCTAGCAACTTAGTTTTGAGTCCCTGGTCTGTTTGTCTGTCTTTCTGTCTTTCTTTCAAACTACACAACTAGCTGCCTCAAACTAGACATTTCCAACTGTATTATGTTATGATTCATTTCTTTCTTTTTTTAAATAAGGTGTGCCAGTTTCTAACAAGGAGATAAAATAAAGCTCACTGTGTGTGCCAGTGAATGTTTCAGGAAAGGCTGGCACACCTTAAACGTCAAATAGTATCCATTAGCCAAGACCAACAATTATTATGTAGCATACCAGTTTCTGTTTATTCAATCTGTTATCATGTGATTTAATATTTCAGCAGTGTTTGCCATAGAGAAAAAGTGTGCCAGTTCTCAACTTATCTTTCTCTCATTTTTTCAAGAAAAGGTATTTTTAGAAAGGCTTTGTCAGCACTGCTGCATTCATTGTTTTTGATCAAACCGATTGTAATGTTAAACACTGACGTTGGTTCTGTTCTGTTGCAGCTAAGTCCTTTATAAAGCACGAGTACTTCAGTGAAAATCCCTATTAGTTTTCTTTTCCTCCCCTTTCTCTTTTAATATGTGCTTAATTTCATTCTTGTGTAAATAAAACAATATGTAGTGGTGATGAGGAGTCCTGTGGCACCTTATAGACTAACAGATTTGTTGGAGCATAAGCTTTCGTGGACAAAGACCCACTTGCCTATGAAAGCTTATGCTCCAACAAGTCTGTTAGTCTGTGAGGTGCCACAGGACTCCTTGTCACTTTTGCAGATTCAAATTAACATGGCTACCCCTCTGATACTTGACAATCTATAGTGATTAGTCCAGTCTGTTGCATTAGTCCAGAGGGCTTTTCCATAGTCATTCTTCCTTAGTATTGGTCTTGTGTCTGCTGATTAATCCAAGTACTATTTATCAGCAGACACAAGTGTCTATCTTTCTCTAATCTAAGTACTATTTGAGAAATATAGACACACATGCAGATATTAGCCTACTTCTTCTGTCAATTGTAGTTCTCAGTAGAATGTGTTGGTATTTACCCTGGTGTAAATGAAAAGAGAATTTATCTTTCTTACTGATCTCACTGGATGTGGCATCAGTCCATATAGTCTTTATTTTAAATATCAGACTCTCATTTAAGAAGAGAATAAATAAAGAGAATAATATACATTAATTTATTTTTCTAAAAGAAAGTAAATATCACAGAGGAAATATAATCATTACATAAAGATGTACCCTCTGTTACTTTCAGAAGGGTAGCCGTGTTAGTATGTTTCAGCAAAAACTATGAGGAGTCTGTGGCACCTTAAAGAATAACATTTATTTCAGCATAAGCTTTCATGGGCTGAAGCCCACTTTGTCAGATGCTTCAATCCTCTGTTGGAATGAAATGGCAGTTCCTTGAAAATAAAATACGGTACAGAAGGCATCTTTTCAAACTGAAAATGTTATAAAAGAAACTTATCATTGGCCATGTTGTGTTTTCATCTGGACAAGTATAAACCCCAAGTAACTTCATTGATCCTAGTAGAGCATAAATTAACAGATTTTGGCACTGGAACTAAAAATAGTGAAATTTAAGGAAAATTGAATCAACTACCAGTGAGTAACTTCTGGGGGGAAATTTCCATGACCAACATTTTGGGCATAAAAGAAAGAACTGAAAGTGAGCAAATAGATTTTTTTCATTCATGCATAATTCTGATTTTGGTTTGGTTATTTAGATCCATCATCTTTCTTGCTTGCATCCTTATCATCCATCTGCTGGGCTCTGGTAGGGTAGGGGAGCAGAGAAACAGGACTAAGACTACTGGGATTTCATGATACAGACAGCAGACAGTGCAGCCTGGAAAAATCCCAATAAGAAGGGAATGAGATGCTTGTCTCCACTCAAAAAGTGATAGAAGTGGAGACTGAAGTCTTGAATAGGTGTCTGTTGCTGGAACATAGAAGGGGAATACAGGTGCAGGCAACATGAACTATGTGACAGCATATAGAAACTATATTGCTTTCTCCTTTTGACCCTAGTGAATTTCTTGGTTTGCTTGCCATCACCACATCTCAACAGGCAAGAAATCATATTTAGTAATTGTCCTTACTATCATTGTAATTTAAACATGCTACTTTGCCTTTATCTTCAGCTATTCCCTTTCCTTCTCAGTGTACATCCAGGACCTGGCCAAGTATTGTTGGTGGTTCTTCCACAACATTCCAAAGAACCAACTGGTGAATCTTTCACGTAAACCTATGTCATCTTCTATATTGACTATAGCAATCTCTTCTTCCTGGGCCTTTAACACACCGTCTCCCCCATACAGTCTGTTCAAAATTCTGTTGCCAAAATATTATTTCTTGTTGATCACTTCAGCTATATCACTGACTTCCAAGAGTGTCCCAACTTTTGTCCTTGCTTTCAAAGTGCTATATTATTCATCCCTTGACTTACCTCTTGTATGTGGTCTCACTGCACATCCCTCCTGCCCTCTGCTCCAATGGATGTGATGCCAGGCTTTCTCTTTTTTCCTCCTGAGGACTGTTCTGTGACAGATATCTGCTTAAGTAGGCTTCTTGGCTGTTTTACACTGCAGGAAAGATGTAGAACATCTGAAGTGGGGGCTGAGTATATGGCACTGAGCATCTAACAGGGTGTACATAGAGCTACTTTAAGAGTCTCAGAAACAGGAGGGATACAAGAGATTCAGTGGGTCAGATAAACTCCTAAGGAGTAAAGAGGACAACTGAGATAGATAAAGGCATTCCAGAGAGAGATTAAAGGGCTTCTTTTCATCACTCTTTGCTCTAGAGGTAATTTGGTGGATAATAAAGATGGAGTCTTGTCAGCCAGCGAGGTATCAAAAAGGTCTTGTAACAAGCTGATTATTTAAATTGCAGTAAGCGACTGGCACCATATGGTATTTGTTTAAGGAATTTAGTGAGGGAGCTATAAACATATGTAATCTCTCATCTTAAAAAAATTACTGTTCTATATGGTAGCAAATGTACAAATCTTTATCAAAGGCCCTAGGGTTGATCTTAGAACTACAGATCAATGAGATTTGTTTTTCTACCATATAAACTCAGTAAAAAGTAATTAAATATGGAGTTAGAAAACACCTAGATGAGCATGATTATAACAAGGTGAGGTCTTTTCTTGATCCTTCCTGTTAGTGGATACTAAAAAGCTTTCAGATGTGTGTTGATTGAGCCCTGTTGATTCTCTCTGGCACATGAAGCTCAATTAATCCACGCCAGATATAAAGAAAAGTCAGTGTGGCTCCTCTGATCTGACTGTGAGGCTGAGGAGTCCTAAAGGAGGAAGCAGACAAACCTGGGAAGAGGGAGTTTGTTTCATATTAAGTAGTCAACAAACCAAGTCCCAGAAAAGAGGCAAGTTCTGAACTTATGTGGCCCACGTTGACTCTTTAAAAGGAGGATGGGAGTATCACCTACTCCTACAGATATGATAGGGATAAATTAGGTTTCTGTAAGAGAAAACTGTGTCTTTCCAGACTTTTACAATCTGTTGTAAAATTATAAGATTATAAAACAGTGGCTAAAATAGAACAAATTAGATGGATGTTTAATAAATACATCTTTGTTATGCACTTATTTCTTGCCGAAACTTCTCTTCTTTTAAGTGGTGCCATACTGCTTTTGCTTTTATAAAATAAATATTTAGTGGAATTGTTTACAGAAGCTATCTAAATAAAACAAATCTTCAAACAGAAATAATATATTTCTGGAATGAGAATAACTTTATAGTGAACTGCTAGTTGATGAACTAAGTTAACCAAACATTCTAAAACCTGGTTGCAAAAACATGCTACGGCTAGCCAAAATGCTTGTATGTATGAGAGTCTTGTTGACAGAGATAATAACTTTAGGCTATTTGGATTCTCTGTTGAAATGCTGTCAAGTTATGAAATGTACCTGTGCAAGGGTACAGTCATAGGCCGGGATGCAATGTTATAATCACAAGCCATGGAAGACATGTTGTCTTTCTATTATAGTGACCCAGGCTCTGAGATCCTCTGTACAGTTTTTTGTAGCGTAGATGTGATAGATTAACAAGTATCATGGTGGCAGAATCTAGTCTGATAGAGAGGGGCATTAAAAGGAATAGAGTCCAGACTATGTTCTTTATACTTAACATTGATAAGAAATTATTCACATAGATAGTCCCACTGAAGTCAAAGGTATGGTTTAGGTAAGTAGCTGCTCACATATGGGTGTAAAAGAGTCACAGTCTGGCCCTAAATGAGTATCTATACCAAGCTAAACTCAGTGTCTGAAACAGCTATAATTTCAGCTTTTTATAGGTGTCTTTGCTCAATTATTTTTTTCACTGATATTGTTCAACAGTTGCAATTCTAAGCTTAGTTCATTTCTTTCTTTAGTCAGGTGAAAAGGTTTCTCTAGTTTATTATGTGTCCATTTCCGTGGCCTGTAGGTACATCCAAAACAAAGCATTCTCCAGAAATGGCCACAGTGGGCAGCAGCAGTCATCTAACTTATCAAATGGAAGAAACCACCAATCACTGAGAGGTCAAACAAATACTGAAAAGCTGAGCCAGAGGTGGGGAACCTTTTATGGGCCAGGGGCTACACACAAGTGAGAAGAAACAAAACCAAACCACAGCTATCACTCACCTGGTCCCTAAGGGTATGTCTACACTACCCTCCTAGTTCGAACTAGGAGGGTAATGTAGGCATACCGCACTTGCAAATGAAGCCCGGGATTTGAATTTCCCGGGCTTCATTTGCATAAGCGGGGCTCCGCCATTTTTAAATCCCCGCTTGTTCGAACCCTGTGCCGCGCGGCTACACGGGGCACGAACTAAGTAGTTCGAACTAGGCTTCCTAGTTCGAACTACCGTTACTCCTCATTCCAAGTGAGTCCACCCCACGGATGTGGCCCCCAACTGAGAAGCAGGAAAAAAACACATTCCCCTCACTTGCCTTAAGTTCCAGCCCCACGGGAGTGGTGGGAAACCAAAGGCACCGTGGCTCAGGGCTTATCCCCGGGGCTGAATTAACTCTTCTGGGGTTCCAGGGTTTGGAAATTTTGTGTGCCCCCACTAAACTCTGGGTGGAGCCAAAAATGAGGGGTTCAGTGTGTGGGAGGGGCCTGCCAGGGAGCAGGCTGGGGGTATGAATGGGAGATAGGATGCAGAAGCAAGGTTGGAAATTAGGATGCAGGGTCTGGGCAGGAGGTATGGTGCATGAGTGTAGTGGGGGTGAGAGTGTGGGATCTTGGTGGGATGGGGCAGGGGACTGGGGCACCTATCTGGGATGGCTCCTGTGGGGGGGTGGGGTGGACTGCAGTCATTGTCCCCCCACCCCCATCCAATGGGAGTGATGGTGGGCTGTGCCTGAAGGGACCATTCCCCTGTGCTTCCTTTCCCCTGCCAGACAGAGCACATGGGCCCCACATAGCTGGAGCACCAGTGCCAGCATACTCATGCCATTGTGGAAGGGGGGACCGAGCCCCAAGCGTTATGGGCAATAGCGTCCCCAACACTGAGCTAAGCCTTAAACCATATCCCAAAGGCAAGATGAGTCAAAATGCTAAAGAAAATTCTACAGTCAGGGACCTAGCACTTTTCAGTAATTCAAATGTAGAGACTATTGAAAGGAGTGCCTCAGATGATCTCAGCTATTGTAATGGTACATCGGGAAAGATGTGATTTCTGAGATCTTTCATGAGGTGTATTTTGTTGCAGAATTTAAGAAACTATATACTATTAGGTTGTTGGTTTCTTTCTATTCAGGCATATAATTGTTTCTTTTAAAATTGCAAAAGCCCTTTGAAAAACAATACTGATTCATAGGCATCAAGAGAATAAGGTAAAGGGGAGAATTCCACTTGAAAGAAAAATTCACATGTGGTCATCAACCATGGCAATTGTCTTTTAAAGTTGATAGGTTGTAGTTGTAAATGCATTTTATTTAACTTGTTCGCTCTGTTAAACACACAGACGTGCTAGCATCTCCAGACACAGACATACCTCTTCTCTAATCAAGTGTTGTGGGTATGGGCAAGTCCTCTTTGTATCTTTGCAGAGTTCATGATAAGGTCTGATTTGTTTTCATTCCCTTTGTGTTTCCAAGGAAACTAAAGCAGTGCAGGTTAATATTAGTTTACTTAACAGCTGGGAATATCATGTTAGATAGCAAAGTACATCATGTGCCCTAAGTGCTGGTTTTTGTTTTTGTTTTACAAACACAACCCAAGTTTTTGCTAAAATAAAATAGATCACTTTCTGATGGAATTCAAAACAGAAAATCTGTATAAAGTTCAGATTTTCTACAGAGCTGTTGATCTCAAGGAACATGGGCAAAGCATGGCAGAGGTGCTAGCATGAAAGAGGTTGTAGGTTGTTTGTTTTCCTCTTGAGTTGGCCAACTACACTGGGTGATACAGAGGGCTAAGTAGGGAAATGCGGCTCAAGTAGGAATGAAGGGTTGGCATATTTGTGTGTCATTCTAGCACTCAAGTGGATGCAAGGACCAGATTGTACTTGACCCCTAAGGAGAACTGGGTGGCTCTGTGTGCACTCTCCTCCTATTTGCACACTCTTGGAGAACCAGCCATAATTTCCCCCTTACAGTAACATGAAGAAAAAAAGCTAAGACATTTCAGACTTTAATATTCTTCTTCAAGGAGTGTCCCTGTGAGCACTCCACTGTAGGTGTCTTGGCACTCCTGCACTTAGAAACAGAACTTTTTAGCAAGAGTACCCTCTGCCCAGGTGGCAGCCTGCATGCACGGCACTGCTTGCACCAAAGCAAATGTGTCAACCATCCATCTGTTCCTTCTTAGCCGCTCCCAGTTTGGTTGGAACATAGTAGTGCTCTCTGTTACACCTTAGATATTTACTTATAGAGTTACTTGATGTTAGATTGTCAAGTTCTAGTTTACGGTTTTCCCCTCCCAAGTTGCAAGTTTTTGAAAAAAAAATCTTGTTGTTTCTACAGTTTATAGTTCATAAGCATTGGGATAGGATAGGCATGCCAGGCTCACCAGGATTTAAACAGTGCCTGACATGCAGAATGTCTGTCCCCATCTCAGATGGGCATGCCCAGTGTATCCAGTGCATGGACCAGGATCACTCACTGAAGAGCTGCAGCCATTGTAAGAAGCTCTCATCCAGGTCACTGAACATGAGGGAGCTTCACTTAAAGCTTCTCACCATGGACAAGGTAGAGAGGTCAACTTCAGAACCGTCAGCAAAACCTCCCCTGCCTAGACCTCGCCTACAGCAAGGACCTTCTGCATCAAGGGAGGGGTGGGCCAAGAAAACAGCCCAAAGAAAACACTCTTCATCCTCACCAGAGGGGGCACTGAAGTGATTATCTTTCTAACCCAAGTCTCTATCACTTAAGGGGCAGGCTGTTGGGCATGTGCAGGTACCGGGGAAGTCCTGTACGGACATACCCTAAGGGGCGGTCCCTGCCAAAAAGATACACTCTGCAGTCTTGGTACCCAAACCAAAGAAAATCGCCACTGCACTGCTGGTACCAATCTCTGCGGTACCGACGAAAACAATGGCCAAACCACCTTAGCGCAGTGAGGAAAAGGGCCACTTTGAACATCTGGTACAGACAGCAGCCAAGTCGGTACCACCCCAGGTACCAAAGTCTCTCCAGTACTGACCACATCTAGGGTACGGGAAGGCTCTTTGACACAGTGATCGCAATCTTCCACAACGGTGGTACTGACCTTCACCACCAAAGTCTCTGATGACCCAGCAAGATCTAACAAAAGGATCGGTACTGGGCACACTGTTATTCGGTACCGATGCCACACCGACATTGTAGGGACCAAGCAGGTTTGCCATGCCATCAAACTCACCCCCCCCCTTCTCCAGTGACCATGATGACGATGAAGAGATCACGTTCTTCCCATGACATTTGTTACCAAAGCCAGCTGAATAGATACAACAGCAGCAGCAGCAGCAGGGTCAGCCCAGATGTGGCAACTCTTTCCATGGCTCCATCCCATTCCACTCCTACAACCTTGGCAGGATGGGATCCCTTTGGTACTACAAAAACTTGAACATCAGCACCTCAATTGCTTTCACCACCCAGGCCTCAGACAGTGGGCCACAGATCTCGTATACCCACAAGATCTAATATCATATGAGGAGATGGAGAACTCACAGGAAGAAGACACATTATTTCCTTCATACATCTGATGAGACAATAATGCCCCCTCCACCAACTGTG